GAAATCAAGCAGATAAACCTCACAAAACAAACTGGAATTTGTGGCAATTATATCCATCTTCATTGGGGTCATTGACGTGTAGTCGTACCATGGCAAAGAAAGAAGTAATGGGAGGGAGATACCATGAGACATAACATGAAAGACAAGACGCAGCTGCAGCTGACCTGGCGGCACCAATAAACCCAGATTTGTCCTTAATCCCTCACTTTGCTTACGTGGAAGAGTCCTTGCAGCAGATTGCTCTGCCCAAGCACGTCACATTCAGCAGCACCCGAGCCATGCGCCCAAAGCCAGGGAGCCTGTGCCTGCGGGGACTGTGGGCACGTGCAGCCTGGATCTGTGGGTGCTCAGACACCCATTCCTGGCACAGCCCCCATGACCCTGCTGCGTCATTGAGTCCCTCCAGAGACGGCTCAGGGAGAACCATGCTCACAGATATGTGGCCAAGGAAGCTGAAAGCGTCTTGGTCCTGTTCATGCTCTCTGTGCTCATGTCCCTTCACACAGGTCCCCATTGCTTGATCCCACCACCTTCCCACCAGCATGTCCATGCCAGCACTGTTCATAGATGGGGATTTGTCCCACAGGGGACCCATCTCCTCTGCTCTTTGTGTGACCACCAAGTGAATGAGGGGGGCTACAGATCAACGTGTGACGTAGTGGCAGGAAAATGTCCAAGGCTTACGGATGCCCCTTGCACCTGGTACTATGATGTCCCCACACCTCACCAGCATGGGGTGATGGCTGGCATTTGGGAGCTGCCCTGGGCGGGATGACTTCTTTCTTTGCCCAACTGACTGACCCTTCTGTTTACCAGCCTGTAAAACAGAGCTAATGACAGACGTGATGGCTGTGCATGGGATTGCAAAGCATTTCTGCAAAGCATTTCTGGCACGTTGGCAGAGTGGTGGGATTAGGGACAGATCTGGGTTTATTGGTGCCGCCAGGTCAGCTACAGCAACGCCTTCTCTTTCATGTAATGATACGTCACCTTTTGTCCCTCCCATGACTCCTTTCATCTCCAGGGCATGTTTGCTTGCTACTAGACACAATGAGCACGGATATAGTTGCCCTGCATCTCAACATATTTCATGAGACTTGTCTGTTTGATTTCATGATTACCTGAGGTTTCTGCCACCACCCCTTGGCCAATGCCCCAGGCACTCTGGGATGTGTATAAAAGAGCTGAGGGCTTCACAGTCCTCTATCCAGCTTCCTTCACTTGACTCTTCTGATCATCGTGGTAAGTCCAAGTCTTACCTCCCTCTTTCCTTCCTCAGCAGTGGCTTTCTCAGGGTATCTTTTGCTGGGGTCTCCAGCACTCATAGTGCACAGTGAGGATGTGATGGGGCTGTTTATGAGCTGTTTCATGTGCTGGAACACAAATTGCAAGGTTGTTAGAGAGCCAGGAGGGATTTGGGATGAGGCGTAGCACAGATCCTGAGCTCTGCCTTGTCTTGCAGCTTCACCTCCTGAACCAAAGGATGTCCTGCTCCAGCCTGTGCAACACTTCCTGTGGGGTGGTCGCCCCGGCCCCTCTGGCTGACACCGCCAACGAGCCCTGCGTGCGGCAGTGCCCCGACTCCCAGGTGGTGATCCAGCCCCCAGCCTCGGTGGTCACCTTCCCTGGGCCCATCCTCAGCAGCTTCCCGCAGTACAGCGTTGTTGGCTCAGCAGGAGCTCCCGCTGTCGGAGGGGGCTACGGCGGCACTTTTGGAGGCCGTGGTGGTTATGGAGGCCTTGGTGGCTATGGGGGCTATGGAGGCTACGGAGGCTTTGGAGGCTATGGAGGCTACTTTATGGAGGTTATGGAGGCTATGGAGGCTTTGGCGGCTGTGGATACGGTGGCTGGGGCAGAGGCTACAGGTACGGCAGCTGTGGGCCCTGCTAAACCCAAAATACCCATGGAGTTCAGCGCTGCACCTCCCCTGGCTCTTTCACAAGTAGCCCCTCTTGTCTTCTACCACCAGCAGCAGAACCAAGCTTTCAGCCCCTCTTCAGGCTGTGGCACAGCAGCTACTTGACTTTCATGATCCTTGCTTATTTGCACAGGATTACCTTGCAGATCTTCCTCTGGTGGCTTTAGGGTTTCCAGCATGGCCTCCAAAAGCTCTCCAATATCTCTGATACAGCCAAGCTGTGCTCATCCTCGGATGTGAGTCTCCTCGGCTCTGCCTTGCTCTGAGGCTCCCAGTCTGCAATAGGGAGGGATGGAGCCCTGGGTTGTGCTTTACGGTTTTTGTGTTTCCAATTCATTGTTCATGTCTTGTTTTGTTTCCTGCCCTCTCTGTTTGTTGCCTTTTCCATACCCATTAAAGAATTTACATTGCATGAACATTTCTTTTTGGTCTGAATTTGTTCTTCACTGTATTATGTCTATAGTTGAGCAATTACGTGAGATGTCAGATGGTGATCCATCTGCTAAAAACCTTTGTGCAAGCTCTGAATTTCTCTCATAAAAGACTTTCGAAAGGCAAGGTAGGGAAGTTAGTAGCAAAATATTAGCTTCATTACAAAAGGTTTCAAAGATGAAATACCACTTTCTGTTTTGTGAGGTCTGTAGAGGAAGGCAAACTGAGCTAGAAGCATGTTTCTTGCCCACTCATACTCTGCACCCTCTCTGTAGTGTGGCTGCTGTATTCATGGGTGCCACCATTGGTGGGCAGCCTTGGGGATCCTCCCCCGCTGTGGCCGCAGGGAAGCTCTGCACAGGATTTTGGGTGGCTACATGTGGGCTGCACATTTCTCCACCATCAGCTGCACCCAGATGTTTGTGTCTTGCTTTGGCCTTGGAGCAAAGTGTTGGAAAGATGCTGAGTCCTGAGATGGATATGATGAATTTTGGGTGGACATTTACCCAAGCCTTCGCAGGGACTGCTGTTACGTGCAGCATCTTCCAGGGACTCAGGTTGGTTCTGGAAAGTGTCAAATATTCAGGATGTGTTTAATAAGATGGCCTAGAAAAGTATTCCTGGGGCTTTGTGACATTTGCACACATAGAAGAAACATGGAATACCTATCACCATGGTTAAATATCCTGTAAATTCAATCGATAAGTAAATTATCGTGTGGTAATGAAAACCCAAAGACGTATTTTGGTACAGAAAATTTATTTGCAAAGAGACAGCTTTTCTACAATTCTGGAACAAAATTGTGCAGGATATAAAGACCATCTGTCCAAGTGTTCAGTGAGGCTCTGGCTAATCATCACCAGGGACAAACTGACGCAGCCTATACAAATGTGGTTTCTCCTTTGGTTGTGTGCAGTTTCTAGCATCCTAAGTCACCTCCCTAAGCTCAGTGTCACTAATATAACTGAAATAAGACAAAGCACAACATAAGCAGATGACTAAACTGGAAAGCCAGAGGATAACAGATCTAAACTAAAGGCAAATGAGAAAACGCACACATGAGCCTGCTTTCCCCAGGTGCTGAGCATTTGCAGCTCGTATTCTTTTCAGCTGGAGCCAGACAACACCGGGCTGGTGCCTTTCAGCTCCACCCTCAATTTGCATCTTGAGCTTCCTTTGCTACTTCTTTAAGTTGCTCTGCGCACGCCGGGACTGAGCTTAGTACGTCCACCTCTTCCCAGAGCGGTACGAGTTGCATGGATGTGTCCATTGGGAGGAATAGGTGTAGGAGTATTTTGGGGCACACCGTGGCGGAGGACGGGCGATGACCGGCGGGGCAAATTTCTCAACCGCTGCCTCCAGTCTCCCTGTGGCTTCTGCTGGCAAAGCTGCTGCGGTGGAGGCCTCTCCCATGACTGCCTTGGGGGACTCCGCGGTTCCTATGACGGTTTGCTGCGGGCAGGTGCTGAGGATGGGCCCTGGGAACGTGACGACGACGGGTGGCGGGTATATGATCACCCGGGAGTCACCGCAGGCCACCACGCAGGGCTCGTTGCTGCTGGTGGCCAGGGGCTGGGGACACTTTGCCTCGCAGGGGTTGGTGCACGCCAGCTGCTCGGAAGCCATCGCCTGGCCGTGGTGGGGGAGTGCCTGCGGTTTGCAGAATTAGGAAAAAACAAACAAACACCCGTGTGCTTGGTTATGGACACTTCTAAGCTTGGCTCTGAGAGATCTTTAGACAGGTAATTTGGATAGAGACAGCAGTTCAGCTCTCTTCTTTCTGTTTGCTACCTTTTACTTAGCCTGCATTTATTTGTCCTTTCTAATCTGCTGCTTTAAGCTTGCTTGTTTTGTTTCTCTTCCGCCTCCCAAACAGTCACCGGCTCCAAAACCTCCCAGCCCTTTGAAATGGAGACAAGTCTGAGCTTGTTCCCACAGCATCGCTGTTCCTCCCACGCACAGCTTCCCAGGGCAGTGCCTGCATCCAGGGTTTTACTGGTGGGGTTTGAAGGGGAAAAGAAAATATCTGGATTTTCAATAGATTTCAGTGTGCAGCAATGGCATTTGGCAGCCTGCTTAATTTCCTGTATTAATTTCCTTGCAGATTTCTGTTGTTATCAAGCACTAAAATGTTCCACTGAAGCATAGAAAAAAATGCAAGGATAAGAATAAATAGGGGTTTAAAAATATCGGTTTAATAAGTAAGAAACAGCACTTAAATACTTATATTGTGGTGGTCTTATCAACCCAAATAAGAAAATTGCAGCTTCAGCTAGGATACACACATTTATTAGGGTTTATTTCTTTCTTCAGATTAAATCTTTGCATGCAGGCATGGTACAGCACTGCATAATATTTTAAGCCTTTAAGTCAAAGATGTCTTCTAGTGCTAAATAAGGCAAAAGTATGATTTTATTCTTGGTTAAGTCCCATGTGCTGCAGTGTACTGGAACTGCTGTCCTATTTGAAAGATGAGGATTAGGGGACATGGCAGCTTTGTAATACTTTTTACAATAAACAAGCACAAAATGCAGGATGCTTCTGAGGCAGATGGTGAGTAATCTGGAGCTAACCTGTAAAATCAGTGAGACTTATCTATGGACAAATTATATATAGGATTCTAAATACGTAGCCAGCAATACTTTCCAATAAAGAAACTATTATACTGCCTAGAATAAAGTAGCATTTTATTCCGAAAGCTGCTTTGCTGCATTTCAGCAGCTCAGTGCTGTTTGCACCAGGCGCTAGCGTGGGCAGGGCAAGGAGCTCTTTGACCTATTGACTTGTCTCAACTGTGTTTAGGGGAAATAAAAGCATCCTTTAAAGTACCACTCTGGAAAAAAAATAGCTAAAAACATGCATAGTATTTCCCCCCCCAGTTACCCTTAGGTTAGAACTTAGCTTTGACCCCGAAATTGCTTAATTTAGCCTCTGTGAAAACACATTGAAATACTAGCAAAGTTTTAATAGCTAGAAATGAAAGCTTATTCCTACTGTTACATTAAGTAATGGTATCTAATCATCCCTTGGTGCAGCTTGTTGTGACTGCAATTAAATTGGCTAAGGATAGGCAGGTTGCAAGCAGCAGAACTGACTTCGAACAAGGATTTTACTTCAATAGTTGTCTATGAAACCCCCCACCTCAACAGCGACCGACCCCCCCAACCATGCCATATATGCAAAAACACTGCTAAAATCTATTCTCAGAACTATCTTTTTAAAAAAAAAAAATTAAGATTGGAATTCTTAATTCTCCCATAAAATTAACAACCCAAAGCAGTCTTGAAAAGCCCTTTTATTTTCACATCCTTTATCCATCACAGAAAACATCTGCAGAAAGACGCTTGCTGATGTCTCTGAGAGCCAGAATAATTACGCAGGATGTAGTCCCGATTTTAAGAAAAAAACACTCATGCTAAAGCGAAATGAAACTCAAGGTTGTATAGTTGTCAAATTGGACTTACTCAGTGTAGCGGAGAGAACAAGCCAAGAGCAGTAGCTAGGAGAGAGCCTCGCAGGGCGAGGGTATTTATACCCTTGCTCGCATCGCCTGGAGGAGCTGAGCCACCCTTTGTGTAAAGCGCCTTAATTATGAAGCAAACTTGGTTGCATGTATTACCGCTGCAGTTGCGGTAATTGTTTTGCTCACTGTTTATGATTATCTAAAGCTGAGTGAGGTAATGATGCGAAACGCAGACTTGCAAGCTCTTTTCATCTTGAGTTTTCCTGGTTTTGCTCCACTGGTTTCATGAAGAATTCAAGATGCACGAAGAATTAATAGACTTATCTTTGCTGAAAACTGCACAGGGAGCCTCGGCGATGTCAGTGGCACAGTGTGTCAGCACGCACAAGATTTGTTCTCCTTATTGGAAGTATGAGGTAATATCCAGTATTTGTCTCTGTGCTAGGGAAACACAGGGCTTGTTTTTAATCTGATTTCATGTTACTGAGGCTTGCAGATGTGCTCTTACCTAAGTCAGAGGAAGCATCTGGTGCAAAAACTTTAAAGAGCAGAGTTATCACAGAGTCATCTTTTAAATAAAAATGAAGCCGTCCTCAATTATGAAGCTTAAAATGAGGAGCTGATTAAGCCGAGGTTTTACATATTTCATTCTGCATGAGGTCAGAGCAGCCTAAATCCACTAGGATATTGTTACTATTAACATAAAATCTTGTCTATGTATGGCATACCAACAGATGTTTGTGAACTTCTTTGAAATCTTGCTTCCTGATGCCTCCAGAATATTCCAGATAAGTTCCACGGCCCAGGGGATCTTTATGGGTGCCTCGTAAAACAAGAATAATTAGTGTCATGAATGCGTCTTGTCATAAACACCACGGTGGTGGTGGCTTTAATTCATTTAAATGTGCTTGATGGTTTTATGCGTGAAGTTTCGCTGCAGAGGGAAGAGCGAGTGCGGTGATTTATGGGAAAATGGGTGTCCTGCACCCACACTCCCAGTCCTCCCAGTGGCCTCTACCACCAGAGGGAGCCACTGTGTACACGGGAGCCTCTTCCTTTGCGGACAGCACCTCCGTG